TCCACCACTAACCATTAAACCACATATCATCCGCGCCTTTCTGGAGACCCAGAAGCAGTATCAGCGGGTTTAATTGGTGTAGGTATAGCAAAGTCGAGGCCGCACACCTAGCTTAGTTCCAGCTGTGCAGTTCGGCTTCAGGGTTCATGTAGGATCAACAGGTATCGCGAGGAGAAGCGCAACCTGTTTGTGATCTCCGCATACGCTCAAATCGACTGTGGTAGTGGTTTAGGCAAGGACGACTTTTATCGGGAGCTTCATCAGCTGTTAACTAACGCTAAGGAATCTGATGTCGTTGTCCTCGCTGGGGATTTTAATGCACGGATTGGCCGCCTGTTACGAAAGTCACTTTGATGGTCACTACGCACTCGAAGAGGAGCACTCAGATAACGGAGATATCTCACATTGCGTGAACACAACCACCTGTTTCTCTCGAACACCAACTTCAGGCATGCAAAAGGCGTTTCGCAACTTGGCGCCCCGCTTCGTCAACACAAGCGTGGTCTCAAATTGATCACATTGCAATCAGCTTCAGATGGCTAGGCAGCGTAAAGGATCGCAGGTCTTTTTGGTCCACTTTCATGTACTCGGATCATGCGCTGGTCTGCGCGAAAATCTGCATGTTTTTGGGGGTCCCAAAAACGAAGAAGACTGATGAGAACAGAATGACTTATTCCTCGGTCCAGGCGAGCTATCAGTGTACAGTGGCAGACGCACTCAGTTTCAATCCACCGCCAGACATTGAGCAACAATGGACGTGTATACAGAAAGCGATGGTCACTTCAGCACAAGCAAACGGCGACTTAGCCAGACGCCCGTAAAGGCTTGAATCTCGGCTCGCTATTTGGAGCTGTTCGACCGCCACAGAGATATCCCGACAGAATCAGTTAACAATGGGGAGCGCCGCTCTGCCAGCCGGCAGATCAGGAAAAGCCTGCGCAAGGATCGCAAGGCTTGGTGGGCTGAGTGTGCTTAGGAGATGCAGACCGCCGTCCTCTTTGGCAACACCCGCAGACTTTTCGTACTCATTCGCTCCACTGGTCTCAAGTAACTTGGTGTGAGTAAAGATATCTGTGAGGCCGATAGTTCTCCAATCACCAAGCAGCAGAGGCGGTTGGATCACCGGACCGACCAATTTCATTTGCAATTCAACTGGCTTCCACTATCTATCCAAGCACGTAGTACACGCTGTAGCCTACTCTGGTTTATCCAACTGGATCCACCAGCGAAGCAGAAGTCTACCACAAGATTCGACGCTTAAAGCGATTCAAGGCAGCAGGACCTTCTCCGGAGTTGTTCAAGTACAGCAGGGTGGCAATCATTAAGCAGCTGACCTCGCTGTTCGCAAAAATCGGGCAAGAAGAAAAAAAGCCTTCCTTAAGCGGCGAATCAGTTATTGTCACGATTTTCAAGAAAGGAGCACACATTTCATGTATCAATCATAGAGGGATTAGTCCCCTTTTAGCTGCCTCCAGGCTATTGGCATCCATTCTAATTCGTGGACTATCCCGATTACGCGAATCATATTAATATGAAGAACAAAATGGTTCCCGTACCGGCCATGAACGCGCGCAACAAATTTTCAAAATCCACCAACTCCTCGAATACCGCCACATTTACCACAAGCCCACTAACGTCGCATTCCTAGAAACACGGGTTGCATTTGACTCGGTCGATCAACCTGGTTCATGGTGTTGCTTACTAAAGAAAAGGGTGCCGGAGAAAAAGATTGCCATCCTTCACTTTCATAACTCCAGAAGAGGGAGGGTCTACGACAAGTTTTCCTCGCCCTTTGCTGTTAATAGCGGTGTGTAACAGGGCTGTCGTATGTCCTTATTCCTCTTTAAGTGTGCAATCGAAGACGCTCTGTCAACAGCTATAGAAGGTATCAAAGTTTTGACCTTAAGCTTATGTCGGGTGAGCAAGAGACCGAGTTAAACTACGCTGGTGATATCGCTTTACCTAGTGACGGTCAACAGAGTATGCTACTCATTCTGAGTCGTTTGGCGGTTGAAGCATCTAAGTATGATATGAACTTCACCCCCTCGAAGTGTGAAGTACTGCTCCAGGACTGGCGCACACCCACTCCGTGCCAACTCTTGAAGGTGCACAACTTGAAGAGGTAGATAATTTTGTCTACCTTGGATGCTGTCTTTCTGCTGGCTGCACTATCAGCAAGGAAGTCTCCCTTCGCATCGCTAAAGCCCGATCAGCGTTTGTCAATCTAAAGCACTTGTGGCGTTGTCGAGGCATATTAACCTCGAGAAAGGGTAGGATTTACAGTGCATCTGTTCGTTCAGTGTTGTATGGATACGAGTCCTGGCCAATTCGCGTGGGGTACATGCGCCGTCTTTCGGGCTTCAACAACGGTTGTTGTGGAAAAATCGTTCGTATGTGTGGTGGCAACCGAGTTCACAGTGATGCCGTTCGACGTCGCATTCTGGGGGATAGGAGTGTTCCCTACAATAAGCTGATATTGCTGAGCCAGTTGAGATGGCTCAGTCACGTTCAACGCATGGCGTATGGGTGTTTGCCACGCCGCGCTGTATTCGTTCGCTCAGGAGCGGGCTAGAGGCGACCGCGTGGTAGTCAGCCTTCCAGTTGCCAAAGGCACATGAAATCTGTGACGTCGCGCCTAACCGTTGCTGGAACCGTGTATTTCTAGGTGGGGACCCAAGGATAAAGAGTGCTAATGGCTAAACACGCTTAAAGACATGGTATGCAACCGTAACCAGTAGAAAAACTGTGTACAGAATTGTAAGCATTCAGAGGTTTTAACTAGCAAACAGTGATTTGGAAAAAGAAAAAAATCAGTGTGTGAAAAGTAAAGAAAAATTGTTCGTTCAATCTTTGACCCAGTTGCACCACCATGTGATTCCCATGGTTGCTTCGTTGGCTCCATGTTCAATTCTTAGACTATTCGTATATATATATATATATATATATATATATATATATATATAGTTATATTTATATATGGCAGGCCGCAGTCACGAAATCAATGACAATCATGCAATCGTCCCTCTTTTGGCGCCTTACATTCGTCCAATTAAGTGTTTTCTGCCAAGTCCACTTGGATTAGTCCTTTCAAATTTAGGATCTTTTATATTTTCAATTGTTTGAGCATTCAGGGACCTGAACCGATGTATTCTGTACTGCCGCATTTCGGTGCGCGGATTAGAGCCGAATCAGTTCAGTTCAGTTGAACAACTGTGATTCGGGCACCGAGGTGCAGTGGTGCGTTGGTGTGAACCATATTCCTGGGCCCCAATCCACCAGCCCGACCAAGCCTCACGGTCAATTTCTGCAATTCTTTATGTCACGTCATGGACTGGCCACCAGTGTGCGGTTGTGCACAACTTGGTGCAGTCACAGAGTATAATGCACGCGGAGAAAGCCGGTCAACGGGCATACGGAGGACACGACCCAGCCAACGTAGGTAGTTTAGATTCAGCAAATACGCTCGTGAGTCCCTAGAAAGCTTATCGCCAAAACCAACTGGCGGACGTCCGAATTGTTCACTCTGTGTTCACACAAGACGTGAGCAATACTCTGCAAGCGCCGGTGACCAAACAAGGCCAAATGTTTGATGTCTACACGGCGAACGGCCGTAGATGATAGAATTCTAGGAGAACTGTGGTTGACGTCGCCTACATTAGTGATCGTTGAAGCAAGGTTAGTGATGGAGATCAGTAAGAGTGCAAGGGAAATAAATGGAGGTCAAAGTGGATCATTGGTAACGGCATTTTCTCAACCCGACTTGTGGTATACCATAGATAAAGCGACTCGTACGAGACTGTGTTTCTGCCTGAAGTACGTGGCGAAAGTTTGATTAAAAAGTATGATTGTAGGTGGGTTGGGATACAATCAAGGGCGCTTAATGCTGGGCAGAGGGAAGACTACTGTCTTCAAGCAAAGATTTCGGTTCTGAATCAGGATCGTAAGGCAGCAAATTCATAGAATTGGATGCCAAATAAGTCCAAACCTCCAGCCTATAGGGTCAAAGCCTGTGCGTTTGAACTCTAACCATTGGCGGAGATGGTAGGTAGATGGAAGTAACTATGCCAACTATGAAATGTCATATAAAACTTATGAATAATATACACAAAAAGGACAGGGAGTGGATAGCAACGTTTAGTAGAATTGCAGAATTGATTGATGATAAAATAGCTTCGTCGCGTGCAACCTCCGAGCATTATTGAGAAGTCAGCGAAATTTACGAGACGTTTTGTATAAGATTATAGCTGACTAAGAAAGTGGCGCTGGGGAAGAAACCGCTCTTCATCGCAATTTAGTGAAAGTGCACAGAAATACCACTAGTACGATTCTGTAGCTTTTCATCTACAGAGCAGGTCAAAGACAACCGCAGGTTACACTCGACGTGAGCGCTTCAGTGAAAGCGAAGGATTTGTAGTCGACCAACCAAGAGTTGTGCACGAAAAGCATCGATTCTAGTTACTTTGAATTGCGTTGTCATAGGCATATTAAGTGCAACGCAGCAGGAAAGTGAAAGAAAAAAGATCGATTCAATAGAAACCACCGGAGTAATGTAACGGGGTTTAGATAAACCGCTAGGGCAATTCAACACATTTTCACTCTGCCAGGTATATAACTCGTAGCTGAAAATACGGTGTGTGGTACCTTGGTCAGACAGTTTGCAGAGTGTTCCCATTGCACTCACACAGTGATCAGTTAGAACCGGCGATTCTGCACTATCATGTTAGTCTTTAAGGCCACTGGATCACGATGAATGGTGACGGTAGCCACTGTGACAAAGCAGTAAACTAGGATGCCGTGCAACTCATCTTGCACCGGCACGCGGGTTTCTAACATGCAGGAGACAGTTAGTTATTCGGTCATGGCAGCTATCACCGCCTAAGGTCGTGCTCTTAACCAGAAAGTGTAGTGCCACCGCTGCAAGCATCGCACCGAAAGGGCAAAATGGCAGTGCAGTTTGTATAAAGTAAGATGAAACAAATGGCTAAATAAAACATCCTTACCTCGTTTTTTCTTAGTTTAAAATTCGCTTCCTGAAGCCAAGCGTGAGCCGGGCCTGTATCGCCACGATGAAGAGCATCTTCGATTACGACAGCTTCTTCATACAGATCCGACAAGCAGAGCACGCTGAGCTCCGGTTTTTCTCGAGCCAACTTCAAAGCAGCTTTAGGATAGCCGCAAGTAAATAAATAATCTGCCAAGTGTCTATGGAAACGTGTGAGGTAGATTGACTGATCAGATTGGTTGTACAAAGAGACGTTCGGATGGAGAGAAGGTGCGAACCGCTTGGTTGTGTCCGCAATCTTTGGTGTGACACCAGAACCCAAAGCTAGAGTATAGAGCGACGGAAAGAAATGGGGATACTCATACCGTAATTCAATATATTTCATGAAATAGTTCCCGTGTATGTTCTATGCGAAACTGAGGGAAATGGTAATAGGTAAAAGAAATTACTGAAGTTTATCCAGTATAGATGAACAATACCGCAGTACTCATTACTTTCTTGTTGGAACCAGCTACCAAATGAAAGCCGGGTGGTATACAGCTAACTCGGGTAGCGTATGTCTTGCTCCAAAACAAAAGTAGTGCTTACATAGCTGTGCGAGGGATGGAAAAGCACCCGCAGTGCTCAATAATTTGCTACCACCTGCCTTAGGCAAGGCAGCCTATGGTCATAAAAGCAAAAACCCGCTAAAATCCAATCTGGTTGGTAGTGATCGCAGTGACTACGGTCTAAACACATTTATGATTTGTGAAGCGTGTAACTCTACGCGTGGCCGGTCCCGAGCGGCCCTCAATTGGACTCTAAAGTAACATTCCAAGTGGAATGTGCTCACGCCTACTGTGTCAAATTACTGTAGTAAAGGCTCTCAGTGAATTTCCCTAAGCACACCCCTAGTTATCTTATTAGCTTAAATGTCAGGCGGTTGAAGAGACCAAAAGTGAGATAGTTCGGACAAAACCCCTTTTACAGAATGGGGGGTTGGAGATCATAATCTGTCCAGGATACACTAACACCGTTAGTCTTTTCTCCTTATCCCTTTCTCACCTTTCCACGAAGTTGGTCGTGTTCACCAACAAGAGTCCACTACCGCGTAGGGGTGGGCGTCCTCGCGGTATACTCAGCCCGCGCGCAACTAGTGGTGGTTGCGCGGCAGCGAAGCGCCGTTACGGCGTACAGCTGGCACAGTACTTAAATATTTATTACCGATTTAATAAGCTACGCCATCAGCGAAGCCAGGTCCCGTGTATAATAATGAGTACCATCCCGCACTTGGTTTTGCAATGTTCACACGTATCAGGTAAGCCAACAGGTGGCGTTCGCTGATTTCACGCCCCCTAGGAGTTAATGCTTGCTAAATTTACGAAACATGCACACAGAACAGCCGTGTCCCAATGCATACACAAATACAAACCGCGGGTCTCAATGTTAAGGCTTACATGTACAGTGTCTCCAGTGAGGCCGAAGTCACAGAGAGCGGTCTATAAAGTGTTGCAACAACGCTCAGTGGCCGTGCAAATGGCAAGCAGAGAATGGAAACAAGGTGAACTTTTTGTTGTTTCAGGTTACGCTCCAACCGACTGCAGTCCGGAGACTGTAAAAGATAAAGTTCAACAGCAGTTCGATTCCGTAATCGTGATTGCCAAAAGTACGGATAGTAAGAACGTTGCGGGTGACATCAAGGTTAAATCTCGCTATCAGTTAGAGCACTGCATCGGAGGACGTTCCGGCGTTGATATTTGTAACATTAACAATGTTGTCCGCATAGTTCATCTTTGATGAATTATGAGGACAAAGCGTAACATCATATTGTTTGTTGCTCTTTTTTCTTATGACCATCGAAGTAAGTTGTATTGCGGTACAAAACTGAGCCACTTCTTATCTCTAGCTTGCTGGTATATAGCTAGCTGGTATACTGAGAGGAACACCCATGGGATCACCAATTTCGGGGCTCATTGCAGAAGCCGTAATGCAGAAATTGGAGCGCATTGCACTGCCATCCATCAGCCCGAAACTCTGGATACGATACGTGGACGACACCTTTGTCATCGTAAAACGGAACAGAGTGCAGGCCACTCATGCTTTGCTCAACAGCACATTCGAGGATATCAAATTTACGCTTGAATTAGAGGAGGATAACAAGCTACCATTTTTGGATGTACTGGTCACTAGGAATACAGATGGATCTATGGAAACGTGCGTATATCGGAAGAAAACGCATACGGATCAGATATTAAACTACTACAGCAATCACCCGATGAATCACAAGAAGAGCTGCATTCAAACCTTGTTCAAGAGAGCGGAAACGCACTGCAGCACAGCCGAATCGCGGAAACAGGAAGAGCATCACCTATATCGAGTGTTTAGAAACAACGGTTATCCGACAAGTTTCATCAGAAGAAGCTTAAAGAAACGAATGCCTCCGCAACAGCAGCAATCATCTGATCAACCAAACAAACGGATAGTGCTGCCCTACATCAAGAACGTCTCCGAACTAACAGGAAGATTGCTGCAATCACATGGAATCTCAGTGGCTCACAAGCCAAGTGCCACCCTAAGGAAATTGATCTCAAGACCCAAAGGAAAAGTCAATGAAACCGACCAATGCAATGTCATCTACCAGCTAAAATGCAGTGACTGCGATAAAATCTACGTCGGACAAACTGGAAGAAAACTTTGTACATGAATCACCGAACACAAGGCGGCAGTCAGAAGGCACGATCCACGCTCATTGGTTTCTGCGCATGAAGATCAAGAAGGTCACCATTTCGATCTGGAGAGTGTAAAGATCCTAGCACATGGAAGTACAAAACACGAGAGGGAATTTTTGGAAGCCTGGTACTCTACAACGCATGCAATCAATCGACACATCGAACTTGACGCAGTATACGCCACGCTACTGACGAAGGACCGACAACTCGATCGATTGAATCCGGTGGAACGTGTGACTAGACAACCCGAACTGGCGGCAGACTCACTCGCATGAGCAAGCGGACAAAGGAGGCGAGGTCAAGGTCATCTGCCCATTAAGCAAGCTGAACACGGATCGAAGTCCCAACCAATAGGATTGCTCGGATCCACGACCAACCACGACGGTATAAAAACGCACGCACACCAAGCTCAGCGCACTCTCACCGAGGCTCCTCTACGCTACTCTACGCTATTGCACGCCACTCCACTACGCACTGATGATGTCACCTCGATTGGTGACGAAACGTTTGCAACAAAATTGCCAAGCTCAGCGAACAGTTCAACAGCCATGTGATCAATTGTATTCGCAATCAGAGAAGTAGTAATGTCAATCCGAATTGCACTAAAATGGCACTGGTGGATGGGGCAGACGGACCGAAAGCGGACTGGGATCGACAACAATGTGGAATGGAAAAATCAACCAAGTCAGCTTGACCTAATTATGCATGGAAAAGCTCAATTGGAATGTCCATTTCAAAGTGTATGTGATACTGAAACGTCGTCTGAAGAGGAGCCTCAGAAGAAACCGAGAACTCCTGTTTAAAAATACAGTGTCTCTGAGATTACAAAATATTATTGGCGTTTATTCGATACATGTACAAAAGGTTCCTGTGAGGCAGAGGTTTAAGAAAACAGACAACCGATAAGCTAGATCTCTTCGGTCAGGTCGCTGGGCCGGACATTCTAAAGAGGTCTGCCGACTTGGGTCACTTAGAGCTATCTTGAACGTTGGTGTAACGAGTCCCATCATGGATGAAATCCGATATAAGTTAGTGCTGATTAGGCGGGATAAGGCATCTGGTCTAGACGGCATCAGCTGACGTTACTGAACCGTTATTAACCGCCTCGACTGGCCTATTCGATGTTGAAAGGACAAGATCTCTAACTGGCACTTAACAGCTCTAATTCCCGTTATTAAAATTGTACAAAGGGTACCCCACTCTATTAAAACACCATGGTATCATTTGATGCCAACTACCTCCAAACTGCTGAATTTATCATGCTGAGGTGCCTCGCTATCCCCCGTATACAGCGAATCAGAGGTTATACTAGTTTCCTAAACGGTAAAGAGTGCATCGACCACAGCTATACCTTTAGACAGATAGTTTAGCATTTTCTGACTTGGATTTGCCTGTGCCAATGCATATCATTGAATAACATACCGGAAAAATTTGTCCTGACCTAAGATTCATATATCACGATTCACATGATGATGTAAGGGTCTACGGGAAAGCGAAATGAACTGAACAGAAACAAGGGGTTCGACTGATAATGCGGGAGCTTGTAAACGGTCGAGCAGTCAGAGTAAAAATTCGCTCAAGCGGCATTCGTACATGGGCGATTCGCTGAAACGAACGTTGACGGAAGAGGGAATGTTAAGCAAAATACAACCGCGAGACACTACGCCCAAAAATAAACCTACTTTACTGGTCCAAGTAGAACGGTCGCAGTGAGAACCGAGCAAATAAGACGTTTATCAAACTACATGTGCGATGAATATCAGCCAAAGTCTACAAAAGTGGTGCTTTGCTACAATCGAACGTGATTGGCACGCACTTTTAAGACGTTTGTATTCGTTTTTACTTCACTTCGCTGGCAAAGCAGGAAACGGAACAGATCCATATGTAGAAGCACAGCAAAGTGAATAACACGGTATCTGTACAACAGAGGTGCGGCAACAACCCCGCTTAAAAATTTATATACTGTTTACCCAAGCAAGGTAGTTGCTCCGCATCCCTGCCCACCCCGTGTCGAAAGAGTGGGTTCCACCAGGCGGCTAAAAGAAAGCATTGTAGCATACAGGAATGTTCAAGTTTGGAATTCTAATGAGCTTCGTGTTAAGATGTTGGTTTACGACAAGAATGAAATTGGTACTCAGGACTACCTAAAGCGCCACTTAGGGTAGAAGCGTACTACAATGCGCAGCAACGTAGGCAAAAGAGAAATGTAGGTAGTGATTGAATGGAAACAATTCAAGACCGATGTGTGTATGTTTATAGAGGATGTGACTAGTCAAGCGAATGAGCCTGGCAACGCGTCTGAGTGAAAAGTTAATAAGTGTGTCACTAACCGCCTGTGAACGCATTGCAAGTGTGGTACGATCAAAGGGACTGGTATGTTTCCAATGGGACAGGCGTGCGTAAATTCCTAGGCAGTATAAAGGATTGTCTGGGGGGGGGGACAAGATCCATAACGGAAAGCACCTTGCTTTTAATGGAAGAAAAAAGTCAAACAAGGCATCAGCAGGAATGACGCGGCATAAAGGCAATAAAAAATGATTGACTTGGTCAGGCTGGTGCGTGTCGTCTTCATGGATGGCGGGCCGGGGATGGTCCACATGAGTGGTTGGAGACTAT